TGGGTGCTCTGCAGGGGGGTGGGAGCTCTGGTTTGGGGGTTCTTTTTCTTCCTGTGCTCCAGACATGGAGGTTGTTTCTGATTTGCAAACACCCACGAGCGTCTCAGCCCTTGGGGTTTGGTCTCACCCGCGTTTGACTCCCAGAGGACTCCTCAGCCGGTGGAACAGACCCCTGGGGGTGCCCTCCTGATGAGAAAGGGAAAGGGGCTGAAATCCCTTGTGGGGTGTGCATTGGGTGGTGGCTTTTGCCCAGCTCTTTGCTGTGCTCCTGCTGAGGGGTTGCATGGCCTGGAAGACATTCCAAATGGATGTTGTTGGCTGCTGGCGTGCCTGGGCCTCGGGTCTCCAGCTGGGTTGGGTGGTGGTGCACGAGTGGGGGGCCCTCATGGGGGGCTCAGATCCTCGAGAGTGTCCCAGGGACAACCTGGACGTGTCCTGTGTGGGCTCTGCAGAGCCACCTGCCCATCCAGCTGCTGCTCGGTGCCATCTGGCACTGCCAGGCCAAAGGGACAGGCCCAGGGTGGGGGTTCCTGCTGGTTCTCCCTGGTGCTGGTGGGTCCTGATGTCCAGGACCCTCCAACTGTTCTGTCCTCCTGGGACCCCACAGACCTGGATTTATTCTCCTCTATCTCCAGCATCAGGTCCTGGCACGACGCTACAGGACCTTGCCATGAACAGCTCATCCTGGGGCTGAAATGGCACAACCCTGGGTAGAGTTGAAGCTGCAGCTCCAATTTCCTTCAAATCTGGCTGCTCTGTGCTTCTCGGTTTTATCTTTCTGACTCTTTTTTTTTTTTTTTTTTTTTTTTTTTCTTTTTTTTTTTTTTTTTTTTTTTTTTAGAGCGTTTCACAGGAGGCTCCTGCTCCTGACCCGGCACTGCTGCTGGGGGGCAGTCGCTGCCAGCTCTAATCCAGCTCATTTTCAGATGGAGATAATTCCCAGCAGTGCTGCTGGTGTAAAGCAGCCTGGCTGCCCTGGGGGCAGAGCCGGGCTCTCCAGCGCTCAGGGATGCTCGCATTCCTGGCTCAGTCCCGTTCCCTGCGGCGCCGGGAGGTGTTTGCCCCGTGCTCTCGGGACAAGGGGCAGTGCCAGGGCAGCAGGCACCGCTGCGCTAATTTCCATGGAGAACGGGAAAAACGTGGGCGTCCTTCATTCAGCCTCTCCTCCAACACCTTCCTAAAGGTTGGGAACTGCCACGAGAGGGCAGGAGCTGATGCTGCTATTCCTAGTTTTGGTAGAAAAGGCTGTAAATAACAGTTCCTAAGGGCTATCCCAATGATTTTCCTTTTTCTGGAAGGTTTGGTCCCCGAGCTGCTGTTTGATCCGTGTCCTTGGCTGTTTCCTTCCCAGGGTGAGAGCAGGAAAACCCCCATGGAGTGAGGACGGTCCAGAGTTTCTCCTGGCCAGGAGAGCAAAGGGAGCTGCTGCACAGTCCCCAAATATCTCCCAGCCTTCCTTTGCTTCCAGAGGGTCCCTCTCCACTTTGGGATAGCTGAAGCCCCTCCTGTGTCAGGACACACGTTCTCAATGAAGGTTTTTTTTTCCTGCCCATCTCGAATTAGGAGGATAATGTCCAATTTCAGTGCCTGGGAGAGATTTCAGAGTAACAAAACAGGAGCTCCAGCAGCAGCTGAGAGCCTCGTGCCACCCTCTGTGCCACCCGGGGCTGGGAATTCCAGTCCAGGTTTGAATAGAAGGGAGAATGATTAACCAGGAAACGAGCAGGGTGCTACAGCTGCCTGGAGATGGGTGAGAGGAAATCACTGCGAGCCTCTGCTGCAGCAAGGCTGGGTTTTACTGGGGTTTACTGGGTCCTTCCAACCTTTAACTGCGAGGAACATTTACTAGTCATTAATCTCTTCCTTGCTACAGGAAGCAGCAGATTCTCCCCAGGGTAAAATGCTCTGCCACACCTGAGGACCAAAGGCTTCCAGCAGGGAGAGCTTCCCAGACAGGGAATATCAACAGTGGCCTCTGGGAACAAAGGAATGGCACTGGACTCGGGAAGGGCTGGCTGCAAACATCCCCCCACTGTGCCCGCGGGTGAGGAGCTGAGCACTCACAGGCTCAACACAAACCTCGGGAAAGGTGGGTGAAGGTCTTAGATGTGCTCAAGATGTGTCAAAAAAACCCCCAAAATCCAAATAAGCAAAAAAACCCCCTAATAATGCAGGTGGCAGTGTGGGATCTGCTTGTAGAGCATCCTAAATATCTTACAGTGCCTCAAATCCTGGCTTCTGGAGTTTAGGATTTTTGCTTTTTTAGATCTTTGCTTTTCACTGCTTTAACTTTTCCAAGGGTCCTGGCAGCTTGGCTGGGAAGGGGGAAGCTGGGGTGGGTCTGGTTGGTCTCAGTGGGGTTAAATGTCCAACAGGAGGAGTTCAGGGGGTTGTAGCACCAGGAATGCAGAGCTGTGTGTGAATAAATTCGGTGTGTCCTTGTGGGCACCGGGGTTTAACAGGTTCCTTGTGCCTGGGAACTCTGTGGGGCAGTTTTGCTTCAGCTGGAATGGGGGCAGGTAACTGTGCTCAAGGGAAAATGGATGTTTCAGCAGTAGTAGGTTCAGTGTTTGCCTCTGGAGTGTTCCAAACACAGATATTTATCCTGCTACTGTAGAGAACTGCTTCCCAAATACTTCTGAAAGGGAAACAAAATTCCTTTTGCCTCCTCTGAGCCAAGAGGAAATATTTATTAATTTGGATTCCAACATGACTCAGTTCAGAGATTACATGATCTGTCAAAACAACTGGTGGAGGAGCTTTACTGGAAGTGTGGAGTCAACAAAAGCAAGACAGGAAAAATGTAAGAGATGAAAAATCATCCTTAACCACATTTGGAAAAGCATTTATACATCGTATCAAAGGTGCCAATGCTCCCACAGTGATCCCATGATGTTTTCAGAAATGCTATTTATTCAATCTCGCTGCTCAGCACGAAATAAGAACAATCTCTGCCTGGAGTCTTTGTCCTGGAGGCTTTGTGGCTCCTCACTGTGTGTTATTACTTGTGTTTCTACAGTTTGAGGTCTTGGTAGTTCACTTCTAGGGTGGTATCCTCACTCTCCCAGGCACCTCCTGGGATTTGCAGTCAAACACAAGAGGTTACATGCCCAAAATTCAATCTGAAGATGACTAAGCAATTAGTCATTCCATTGTTACATGCACTTCTTTCTCTCCTGTGCCTGTAAGAGCAGAGCCTGGATGATTTAGGGCACAAACAAAAGCCCCGAGCAGCAGAAAGACAAATAAATATATTTAGACAATTGGGTTTATTCAGCCTAAAAGAAATGCTCAGAGGGGGATGCATCTCACCAGCCTGTTTTTGGAAGGTGCAATAATTTCAGTTCCCCATCTGTACCACAAAAAACCCCCAAAATTACTAAAAATAACAGGGTTTGCTGTTGATTGCATCTTGATTTTTTAACCACAGGAAAACTGCTGCAACTGTGAACTTTCCATTTCATTATTGATATAAAAAGTGTACAAAAGGCTGTTATAAAAACATTTTGTCCCAGACTGTGAGACAGTCTGATACTGCTCATAAAAATGCTGAATATTATCTGATGGCATTAATTTACATAATACTTCAACCTGTAACTTACTGAAAGGACTGTACTTGGTAGTTATTCCAAAGCCTTATGGGCTTGTGCTTCTTTTGGAATAATTCTCTCAGTTTAACCAGCTCCCCCTTTCCCTAAAAAGCCACAAAGTGCTCGACTTCTCTGGGAGCCTTTTGAGCACCTCCTGGCACAGTTCAGTACTTGTGGAGCCCTTGTGCCCCAGGCCCCAGGGAGGGGCTCTGCAGGTCACTGGGGGTCACGTCGTAGCCCAACTTCTTCAGGTCCTTGGTCATGACATTGAAGGAAATGGTCACAAAGCCCTGGGATCTCACCCTCGTCACTGCAAGAGAGATGAGGGGAATAAATCCAGTCAGAGGAGGTTTTTCAATGGCTGTTGAGCTCAGATATCCAAGGAGGATCGTTCTCAGCTGCTTTTCCCACCCGAAGATGGACAGCCAAGCTTAAGCCAGGACTCACCTTCTCGTCCCTCTCCCTGGGCCACAACTTTGGGGTCAGTAAATTCCGGGCGTCTCCCTGTGAGCCAGCTTGGAGAAGAACACAGAAGATAATGAACTGGATTGTTGACATTGATCATTGTTCATTACATGCATGCCAAAAACACACAGAGGGGTTGATTAGACTCCCAGCTTTGTCCTGCAGCAGAGTTTGGAAGCTTGATTCACTTTATTATCTACTTCCATCAAAGCTAAATTTTGTCTCTCTAAGGAAAAAAAAACTCAAACCTAAAACTAATTTCATGCACATGATGGTGAATCCAGGTTATTTCTGGGCTAGACAGAATCCTCCCGTGGCAAAGGAATTGTTGGAACTGATTCACTCTTGATCACCCAGAGAACCAGAGAGGCTTTGAATACATAGAAAAATAGACAAATTAGTGTAGGGCCTACAAAAAGGGAATCAGAAAGAGAAGAAATCAGCTGAATCCTGACAATATTGTGCAAGGGAAAAACCTCAATACCCTCAGTTGCTGTCTACAGACTGCTCTTGGAAGGATGTGTGTGTGTGTGTGAACAAGATAGAGGTTACAGCAAATGCGTTCCAGGTGGGAGAAAAGGTAGAATGGGAATTGTTTTTCCATGTTCTTTGCTTTCCAGGTTGCTCTTAATGGGGCTGTGCTTCAAAAAAACACCCTAAAAAGATTTAGGTGGTAAGTTCAGTACAGACAACAGGTAGTTAACATGTTTTCAGAAAGCTTTTCAAAATACCTAGACAGCTACAAATGTGATTTTACCTACAAACCACAAAACTACTTGGTTATGGTACAGAATATTCACATCTGCACCAGTGATTTGCTGGATGTGCCTTTGTGACTAAGGGCAAGAAGGACTTTAAAAACATAAAGTCATTAATTATTACCTTGTAAACTGCTGCAGCATCGATGTGGACTCTGGAACAAACATAGCAATGGTTCTTCTGTGCCTGAAGCAAAAAGAGACCCAGAGAACTTCAGAAATGGAGCAAAGAGCAAGGGGTTTTATATTTATAAAGGCACCAGAATTTCAGACACATCAGAACATGGAACATCTCGAGGTGGGATACTTTTTCTTCCAAGAAGGAAGGGTTTGTTTGCATAGGAACAGTGTACATTCCTCCATTTCCAGAGGTGGGAATGAAAGCTTACTGAGTGCTGAGAATGATGGGGGAGAGGCAATTTACTGTGCTTCATATCTAGGCTTTTTACAGGCCAGTTTTGGCTTTACAGGTGTTCACAGGACTAACAAAAATTATTTAGTGGTCAGGGGCTTCTAGAAAATCCAAGCCCTTTGTACCATACGGACAAGGCGTGATGAGGAGACACGGGAGCATTTTTGTTTCTGAAACAACAGAGTAACTGGGATAAAAATCTGTTTCAGTCCTGAAAGACAGGTTGTCACTCACCTTCCAGGTGTGAAGGGCACGTGGACAGCTCCATAACCTCTGACCACGTCGTGTCCGAAGAAGTCAGGCCCGTAAACACTCAGCACAATCTGTGGCCCTGCAAGGAAAGAGGTGTGAGAGGAGGGGCTGCTCTGGGGGCTGGAAATCCCCCCCCAGCACTCACAGCCAAAAGGGTTGGTGCTCTTGAAGGTGATGTCGATGGGGAAGTTCCACACGAGCGTGGTGGGTGAGACGTCGCTCTTGGAGGTGATCTGGGAGATTCCCTCCTCCAGACCCTGCGGGGGGAAGGTGGAGTCAGCTGGGGGCTGAGGGGGGCCTGGCAGCCCCCAGGGTGGGGGTGTGGGGGGCACAATGGGGCTGTACCGCGGTGGGAACCCAGTCCTGGCCGTAGACGAAGCAGAACTTGCAGTAGAGGTCATCGAATCCAGGGAACTGTGGGAGAGAGGGGGATGTCAGTGGGGATTTCTGGAGTGAGGGTCTGCCCAAGGAACAGTGCTGAGGGCAGAGCTGAGGGCAGCCAAGGTTTGGGGGGGCTGACACCAGGCAGGGTTAGGAGGGGCTGAGGACAGACTGGGTTTGGGGAGGCTGAGACTGGGATGGGTCAAGGGGTTGAGGCCAGGCAGGCTCAGGGGGGCTGAGATTGGGCTGGTTTAGGGGGTGCTGAGGCTGGGCTGGGTTCAGAAGGCTGAGGACAGGCTCGGTCGGGGGGGCTGAGACTGGGATGGGTTCAGGGGCCGAGGCTGGGCTGGTCAGGGGGACTTAGGACTGGCTGGGTTTGGGGGGGCTGAGGCCGGGCAGGCTTAGAAGGGCTGAGGTTGAGCTGAGTTAGGAAGGGCTGAGACTGAGCTGAGTTAGGGGGTGTTGCAGCCAGAGTGGGTTCGGCTGGGTTGGGGAGGTGGCTGAAGCCGGGCAGGGTCCGGAGGCAGAGTCTCATCCCGCCGGGCGGACACGGGACCGAGGACCTGGCTCCGCGCTGTCGGTGCCGGGGGCCTGTCCTGCATCCCGAGGGTGTCCCGGGGGTGTCCCCGGTGTGTCACCCACCTGCCCGCTCTCGATCTCCCCGCTCACGGCCAGCAGGAACACGCTGGGCGCCGCCATGGCGGCCGCGCCCGTTGCCATGGGGACGGACGGGGCGGCGCGGCGGACACGCTTCCCCCGCGCCCCGCTTCGCTTCGCGGGGCTCCCGCTCCCCAGAACCGCCCCAAAACCGCCCCAAAACGCGGCCTGACCACCCCCGTCACCCCCGGGACAGCCCTGTGTCACTCGGGGCAGCCCCGCTGCCCTCAGCACGGCTGGCCCGCAGCCCCTCACCCCTTGGCAGCCCCGCCGCCTGCTCCCCCTTTGTCCTCGCGCTGCCCCACATTTAGAGTTCTTGGCGTTATTTTTTATTTAATATCAATGTCTGTTGACATTTTTTTATTTAATTTCAATGTCTGTATAAGCGCCAGCCTTCCCAGCAGCTGGTCCCAAGCCTGTCAGAGTCCAAGGAGTGCTTGGACAACGCTCTCGGGCTCATGGTGGGATTTTGGGGTGTCCTGTGCAGGGCCAGGAGTTGGACTCGATGATCCTTGTGGGTCCCTTCCAGCTCAGGGTATTCCATGATTCCGTGGTGTTGAGGCCATGGCCACTAGATGATGCTGCTGGCTGAGCCGAAGCAGCTCCGGCTCCTGGGTGAGGGCCAGAGCCACGAGGTGTTTCCAGGGAGGAAAAGTGGGAATAGTGATGAATTTTGTGGTCTCTGGAGGGTCACCCTACGAGCCAAGCTGATGAGGAGAGGGGGAGGCCAATGGGGCTGTTAACGTCCACAGCATGGTGATTATTCCTTATGGATATAAGGATAAACGCCTCCGTAATTCTGGGGTCTGAATGCGGCTACCACGCTGTAGGAGGGAAGGGGAGGAAACAGGATGGGGTTGGTTTAATGAGAACGCCCTAATTAAAAGGAAGGAGGTGAGTTTAGTGTGTAAACAAGGTGGACGAGTGCGCTGAGACTTTGCAGAGCTGGAACTGCCGAAATCTGCTGCCAGAGATTTCTTGTTTCCCTGCAGGGACCACAACGCGACGGGGCTGGGCTGGTGACACGACGGTGTTGGCTTGGTGATGTGACAGTGCTGGCCCTTTGGGACCGTGGTCGTGCCACTGCTCCTGCCAGGAATCTTTGCTGCCCACGCTCACGTCAGCGCCACTGAGACTCACCAGCCCGGCCACCATCTGCCACGGTTCATCCCTTCGCCTCCTTTCTCCATCCCACACCACTGTGAGGAATTTGTCCTCGTCCACTGTCTCCTTTTTCCCTCCCTTTGGCATACTGGTGGAGGTGGCTGTGCTGCTTGGCTCCGTGCAGTGCCACACTATGGGCTGTTCATTGCAGCACCAAGACACCCTTTTCTGCTGAAAGGGATAAATACTGATGGCCCTGCCCATGGCAGTGGGTGAATGAGATGGTTTTTAAGGTCCTTTCCAATCCAAACCACTCTGGGATTCTATATTGGACTGAAAGTAAACTACCATTACATTTCATGCTGAAAAATACCTTCCATGTTCCAATAAATGTATTCTCTGTCAGCATCTATCTCAACTCGATTTTTCAGGCCAAACAAATTTGGCCAAGAGAAGAATGGGAGAGAAAAGCAGGAGGGATGGGAGGGAATGCCTGAAGTTTTATCCTTTCTCCCCTGCCCTTCAGAAATGCTTCAGAGAAAATAATTCATTTGAACTGAAAAGTATATGGGGGGGAAATAAAGCAGTTTTGGAGCAGCTGTCTGGAGCAGTTAGTGAGGCTGTTTAATTAACACTGCATTTGGCTACCAGCTACCTTGGAGCTTGCTAAGAGCCAATTTAAGGAATTTTTTTTGTTGCCTGGCAAGTGATATACAGGTGCTGGAGGAATTCTATCAGCACTGGGAGACCTTCCCCATGACAGAGAGACAGCAGGAGGCTTTTTCAGCAGCCGTGAGTCATCTGTACCTGCCTCTGGAAGGGCTCTGTCCCCTCCCAGCCATAACAAGACCTTTTAGTCTTTCCTCCCTTGCACGCCAGCCTTGTTCTAATTGGCTGCACTTTTAATCTTTGTGAGCAGAACGAAATCCCAAGCAAGGAAGTGTTTTTATCCTGCTGGAAAACTTAATTAACGATCCATCAGAGAGTTTGGTTTCCAAGCATAATGAAAGCCTGTGGATCACGGCGAGTCCACGGGTGTTATTTAACGAGGCTGCTGCTTCTCTTGGCCACCTAAAACATTCACCTCCTCTCCTGGACTTGTCCTGATCCTGTGATTTGTGATGGGACTAATGGGAAGCCTCACAGGGAGGAAGGACATGTGCCTGGTGATCACTGACTTGTCATCTCTTGCAGGTGCTGTGCCCAGGTTGGATCCCAGCTCCAGAAGAACCATTCCTGGTGTCCCTTTAGCACTGACTCCCCCGCCAAAGGCATGTCAAGAAGCTGAGGGATTTATGTTTTCTTCATTCCCAGAAAGAGCCAGGGGTTGGAAAAAATCCAAACTACTTGGAGCTCTGTCACTGAGAGCTTCTGAATCAAGCTCTGTACCATGAGCTGAACAGGCTGCCTGGCTCTGGGTCCATTGGCTCCCAGAGAACTCTTGGAGTGTCCGTGTGCCCTCGATTTCCTAGGGATTGCCTCCACACTTGTGTGAGTGGGAATTGAGCCCTGGAGAATGAGAGAGCAACGAGGGGCTCCCCTTCTCCTGGGAAAAGCTGCCAGGCAGCTGTGACAGGGATACCTGGGGGCTGGATCTCCTGCCGTGCCCATCGCCCATCACCCTGGCTCTGGGCTCTTGCAGTGCAGCAGCAGCAGCAGCAGATCCCTGTGCTGCTGCCTGGGAAAGGGAGTGGATGGACATCCAGTGCTGCTGGGAGGTAGCAGGAAGCAGGTACTTTGTCTCTCTTACCTGTTCAACTCTGATTACAGCAGCCTCGGGGCTGATCCATCGCTGCCAACAGGAGCTCGGGGAAGGTGGGAGAGACACAAACAAAAATACAGTGGCACGGCAAACAGAAGTTTATTTTTAATCCCAAATATTTATGATCAACACCTGCTAAATGGCCAGTGAAATACATTTTATGGCATCATTTATCTGCAATAAACCGGTTTTATTTTTAGACTGTTTGCACAACGTTGACTCATCCCTGCCTGTGCCTTCTCCCTGCGAGGAGGCTGCAGGGAGCTTCCCTGCCTTTTGTCTTCCCTGCCTTTTCCTCCTGCACTCAGAGCTTTTCCCTCTTGCTGCTCAGATCAAATGGTGTGGAAGGGAGGGGATATTCCTGCTCTAATTCTTGCTGAATACATTCACCTGGAGGTTTAGTTTGGTGGGAAGGTACCTGGGTGAAGACAGGTGTGTTACATGTCTAAATCATGGAGTGGTTTGGGTTGGAAGGGACTTAAAGCGCCTCTCATTTCATCCCCTGCCATGGGCAGGGACACCTTCCACCAGACCAGGTTGCTGCAAGTCCCGTCCAACCTGGCCTTGGGCACTTCCAGGGATGGTCCAGCTCTGCCCCCATGTCCAGCCCTGTGCCAGGCAGGGCCCTGCTGGGTACGGGAGATGTCGCTGCCAAGGAGCTGCGAAGTGCCTGGTCTTCCACGAAGAATTAATTTGACTGGAACTTGTTATCGTTGGTGAGATTTTTATTTTGGTTAATGAGCAAAATTAATTAGTAGCTTGGTCTGAGCCAGTCAGAATAAATTGACAAGTAGGCAGGAAAGGGGAAGAGGGGCTGGTTCCCAGCAGGGTCATTGGATTTGATAAGGGCATGAGGAATAACCAAGCTCTGGGGAAAAGAGGGGAAAGGGCATGAAGTCATTCTGCTTATCAGCTGCCCACTCTGGTGGTGACTGCATTTTTTGGGGATAACTCAGGTGGGAGAGCTGTTCTCTGTGCATCTGACAAACCTTGGGGACGTCTCCACGGGCAGCTTGTGCCTCTGCATGGGGAAAAGTGGAATCAACAATAAGCTGCTCCAGGGGATTTCAATCAAATATTCAAATAATTAATCTGGTTTCTTCCCTGTGGTGTGACAAAATGAGAGTTGTTAGCATTTCCTCCCTTTCATCATTAACAGATTTATTTCTCACTGGATAGTCCAGTGGCCACAGCTGGAAAAAACAACCCAACCCTGATGTACAAGTGAGTGACACAACTCCTGGCATGAGGGACAGCCTAAGGTGGGGATGAAACCCTCCTGGTGACATCTCTGCATCAGTGTCAAACCAGGGCATCACGGAATAGAATCAGAATATCTCGAGTCAGAAGTGACCTACAGGGATCACCAAGTGGTGCCAAAACCCATGGAGTGCATCAGTGCCACTGCACATCCCTCATTCCAGAGAAAACCCTCTGCACCCTCCCAGCCTCCCAGTGGAGCTGACCCCATGGAAAGGGCTAAAACCCCTTGTGGGAGAGGTAGAGCTGCCTAAGGCAAGACCATTTTCCTGGAAGAGGAAGGAGCACCCACCCGGCGTGAGCTGGAGTTATTCCAGGGGCACGGCGGGGTTCCAGCACAGAGACATGTTGAGCTGCTTAAAAACCAAGGAGTGACAAAGATTTCCCCTCAGCCCACGCTGTGGCTCTGTCAGGCTGTGCTAAAATTCCTAATTAAGTGCCCCTGTCTGGAAGATGAGTGGCCTCAGCCGTTAAAACACAGCCACAGCATTGAAAGCTTAAAAGGGGGAAGTTTAATGGATAAAGTCAATTTAATTATTTATCCTAAGAAAGCTTGTACAAATATCAAATGCTTATTAGCATTCATGCAACCTGTCTGATCTCACAGCACAGACAGATTAAGGGCTGGGGCTAATTTGGAGTCACGTTTGGTTATTGGTGATTTTTAAGGCTTTTTTTTTTTTCTCCCCAGCACAACAAAGAGAATTTCAGATCGAGATTTACCCTTGAAGCAGAGCCCCTGTGAAGGCTCTTTGTGATGGTTTCCTCTGTCCCTTCCTCAGCATGGTGGTTTTTAATCCCTGTTTGATCCCCACTCCTCGAGGCGGCTCCAAGCAAGCCCAGATGGACTCGGCGCCCATCCCTGCGGGCTGTGGGTTTGCTGGAATGGAGAGTGATGGGGCAGAGTCTGGCTGATAAATGGACATGACTAAATTGTCATTAAAAATGCAAAATAGGCATTGATCCAATTAAATAATCATGACTTGCATTTGCCCGGTGCTTTTCACTTCCGACCTTAAGCAAGGCTTGCAGAGAGCCCGGGGGAAATTGCTTAATGCTGCAGAGATTTAATCAGCAGGAAAATTAACTCTGGGTGATGTTAAATGGGTTCTCTGTGCTGGTCGTGGCCAGGTCTGGGCTGAGGACACAGGTCTGGGGGTTTTGCACCTGGATGTCCAGGTGAGTGTCCCCAAAGATGTCAGGGAGCATTTTACGGTCACTGTCTGCTCTTAGAACGTTCAGTTGGAGCTTGGTTCTCCCCACACTGCCAGAATGTTCCTGCAGGCTCATGGATGGAGTAGTTTTGGGTCCTGCTGAGCTTTGTGGGGTTTGGGAATGTGTGACTTTGCCAGAAGGCACAGGACTTGGTGTCAGCCTGAGCAGAGCCAAGACCAGTGGCCACAGGAGCAAATATCCCAGCTCATTCCTGACACGCTGCCGTGGCCTCAAGCCCTTCCAACTTGGTCTGCAACCACCTCTCCATCACCAAGATCAGCCTCCAGCCCCGTGGTGAGAGGCTTTTCCTCCAGCTCTGTGGCACCACCAAGGGAATTCAGGCACTGGGGACGTCTCTTTTCCCAGCAAAGCTAAATAATCCCAGCAAGAAGTAACACCCTGAGCGTCCCCCTCTGCCCAGGGACACACCGGGGCATCCCACACACCTCCAGGCAGCATTTGGGGGGATTCACCTTCCCTCCTTCCTCTCTGCTCCTTAAACTGCAACAAAAGGAGCTGTTAATAATGACTTTTATGGCTCTTTCCTGGAATTCCTCACCATCCCACTGAGACAGAATCATTATTTACAATAATCCTAAATGACTCCTAATTACAGCGGGCGCAGGTGCTCGGAGGCACAAGGCTGGATTAACATATGGAGGCTCCTGTGTGAGCTGAGGGATCCTCCAAGTGGGAGGTGGGAGCAGCCCCAAACACCAGCAGGGATGGTCCAGACTGGAATCTGCAGCCCCAACAGGCACGTTGAGGCAAGAGGTTTTAGGGAATGCCGAGCTCTGGGAGCGGGACGGAGACCTCGGGCATCCCTGCGGCACAAAGTCAGGCCATGCTTCCAGTTTATACAGTTTAATACATGTGAAACAAGATACATTTCCTTTTGAGTAATGAATGCATAAATAACAGAAGATATATGTGAATGCATAAATATGAGGCGGCACGGAACGAACCAAACGAAAACCACTGGTTTCATTTATCCCCCCCCCCGGATGTCTGTGCCCTGACCTGCTGGCACATCCTCGCCACAGACTCAATCATTCCTGCTCTTCTTTCCCATCAGCTTCCCAGGGCGAAGCTGTGCCATGGGGAGAGGGCCTGGATGAGGGGTGGGGAAGGGGCAGGAACTGGAGGCTAAAAAAGAAAAATCAACCCCAAAACTGCAAAAAAACCCCCCAAAAGTGGTGTTAACAGTGACCTGGATTCCTCTAAAGGCTTCTCAGTCGGCGCTGGAAGGGCCTTGGGAAGGGGATGTGTCCGGGTGTGGGTGCAGGGATGAGGAGGGAAGACCGACAGGGAGTGCAAACAGGGGGGTCACGGCTGCCCCCAGGCTTTGATTGAAATTTTTCTGCCACAAGGACAAATCATCACCTTAAATGCTCACAAAGAACTCACCTAAGACAGTTCTTTACACCTTTACATACTGTATCAATAATTTACTTAGAACTGCAGTAAACAAAATACATTTCTTAAATAATTTACTATTTATTTGTTTTTTTTTTTTAATCACTCTGTAAGTTTAACTTCTTTTGGTTTTTTTTTTTCATAGTTTTTTTTCCTCTGCGACACAAGAAACCGTGTTTGTGCACGTCAGTTCAGATTATTGCGACGTTTAACCTGAAATTCAGTTAAAAAAAAAAAGGGAGGGAGGGAAAAAAAGCAACAGGACAGTTGGACACACAAGAAGAATGAATAACTTATTATTGCACTGGCTACAATTCAGTAGTGATTTGGTTTTTTTTGTCTGTAGTTAGGACAACCTCTAAAGTACAAAAGAAAAATGAGCGAGACGTCGATAAGCATCAGCTGTGAGAAGAAGCTGGTGGGATGATGGTGGAGGGGAGGAGAGGAAAGAGAGGGAAGCGAAGAAAGAGGAGAAACATTTGGAAAATGAACGGCCGGAATAATTAATTCCACAGAAAACCCAAGGAAACACCACCCAGTTGCGGAGTCACATGTAATGCAAAAAAAACAGTATCTCTGTTTCTCTATAAAAATATGTGCATTATGAAGACAGAGTTTTTGTGGGTCTAATTTTTTTTTTTTGTCTTTTTTTTTTTCCCCTTGTTTTGTATCTCACAAATACATAATTTCTATTTATATAACTGCTGATATACAGACAATGTACAGCTCTCAGCTCCCCGGGCACTCCCCGTGTAACGTGACAGCTCCAAAAGGTGCCTCGGTAAAAGTTGAGCATCTTTAAAAAAAACAAACAAAACAACAAAAACCCAAACCCAACAAAACAACAAACCCCCCAAGAGAATCCCCCAAATCCCAACGGCCGCCACCTCGGACCCGAATCAATGTGACCGAGGCCATGGAGGTGGGGTGGGAGGGACGAAGCGACCCCCCCTGCAGCGACTCCACCTTCCCTTTAGAAAAGAAACCCCCAAACCTCTTTGCAAATCCCCTCCCCAAACCCCGTCCCCGTTTCCTCCAGCCGTTTGTTTGGTTTCTCTTTTCATTTTTCCCTCTGTGTGTGTGTGTGTGTGTGTGTGGATTTTTTTGCAAACTTCCGAACCAGTGACTGCGCCGGAGAGGGAAAACCCCGCTGAGCAGCCACCCGCGACCCCGCGGCCGCTCGGTGCCCACTGCGGAACCCCACGTTGGTGTCAAGCCCTTGAGACCCCCCCTTTCCCCCCTCCCAGACAGCTATACTGGGTCATCCACGTCTTCTTCTGTGGCAACAGT